TCATTCCTAGTTTGTTTACTTTCATATTTCACCATAAATAAATTATATATATATATATATATATATATATATATATATATATATATATATATTCTGATTTTATTTTCTCTGTTGATTTGTCAACTAGTCTCTGCGTACAGCCAAGATGACAATAAAGTTTACTTTGACTTTATACGAACAGTAAAGCAAAAATTTTAGATACAGGAACAGATTTTATTACAGATTGTGTTTACAGCCACACAAAACCAAAAATAGACCAATGACACATTTTTGCACATTTCTATTTACACAGTAGAGATTTTAAAAACAACAACAAATACTATGATGTCATTTCCTCTTCTTCCTCCACGTCATCCTCCTCTTCATCAAAATATTTATCCTCTGCATCTCTATTAACTAAATCCAGGTTGTCATAGTCGGGGTTATTGTCCACTTCACTGTAACACACACACACACGTTAAATACACAGCTGTGTTTTGTTTCTGTACATCTTGTAGTTTTTAAAAACAACATTACCAATCTTCTCTTACTTGGTGGGCCACGTTAAAATTTAAATCACAATACCTGAATAAAATCTGCAAAAAAATAAGTTTTTTTTTATCTTTTACTTTTTGACATGTAATGACCGCATTAACCTGATGCTACAAAAGCCCTGCATCATTGACCTCATACTAAAAAAACACAGTCATTAATGGTGGAATATGGAACAATTTAATAAAAAGCTATATTTTTAAAAATAAAACCTCCATGGGGTTTTAGAGGTGTGCAGAATGAAGTTACAATGTTTATTTGGACTGCACGGCACTACCGGCCAATAGCGGGCACCGTTACGGGTTGCCAAATATGGTAAAAAAAAGTCTGCTCGGCAAAGTGGAAAAATGGCGGACTCTGCAAGTCAAGCAGCTGCTTCTGAGGCCAGAAGATGTCGTCATCTTTCTCAGAAGAGGAGCGACCTTAAAAGATCTAAAACCAGAGTGAGTTTGGGTGAAAACCTACAACAAATGGACCCGAATGAAAAATGTCACAGATCGGCATCGAATCTGGTGTCCCAACGGCTGGAAACCTTGTTCTATTGTTGCAACTACAACCTCCAAACACCAGATGTCGCTTTGGTGTTCGTGTTCCATATTCCACCTATAAGTAAAATGTGTTTAATTCAGGCAGGTGGGAGTGACGTAGATAAAAGTTATAAATGTCTCTGGTGTTCTTCAGGATCATATAAACATCGAACGTAGATGGGGAAGAAAAATAAGGTGATCTGAAGGATTGTGGCACGCCACCGAAACGCATCGGCTCTTATAACCTTAAAGGGGCATTATGGAAGTTTAAATTTCTTCTTCATACATTCTCCTGCAATGCCCTGGTCCTGTAGAATGAGCCCTGGCATTTTTACTGTGATTGCCTGTTTTTCTGTAAAATCACAGAAAAAGAGAGATGCTCGGGTCGAGCAGGCTGCTTCATGCGCGTTCACGCTCAGGCATCGCCCGTAGCGTTTGCTATCAGTAGCTTTAGCAGCAGAGAGAGAGGTAGTGCCACTTTGTCGCTGTTCCTAACGCCTAGTGACAAAGCTAGCTACATTTCTGAGGACCCTTAGCTACTTTCTGTAGAACTTTCTTCTAGACATTTCCTGCAAATTAGGACCAAAATAGCCAATTTCGCTCCGAACCGTTCTTTGGTTTGACGTTGTTTCAGCTGTCATCAAGGATATAAATACTACAGATACAAAAGATATTATTGGCGCTTTAGCTCACTTAGAAAGACGTCGGACTCTCGTGCAGAAGTCCTGGGTTTGATTCTGGATGTGAACATGGTTTATTTAGAGTTTATTTTTTACATTAATGGTATATTTTTTTACAGTAAGTTGCCCAAATTTTTATATGAGACTTGCCAAACGGCGTTGAATTCACAGATAAAAAAGATGTGGGTTCAACTTTCATTTTGGAACAATTTTTCAAGCAAGTGAAGGGAATGATCTGAGCATGCAGGAGGACTGACCCATCTTAAACCTTTGTCGGCTGTGCTGAAGAGAAAGGTACAGAACCAAATTATTTAATTAATTAGCTGCGCGTTCTCCTGTCCTCCGGGCCACACACACACACACACACACACACACACACACACACACACACACACACACACACACGGGACTGTCTCAGCTGTTATTTTCGTTAAGGAGTGTGCACGTACAGCATGCGCGCCTCGTGCACGAGCCTACTATTGAAGCTGCCGTTACGCTTTTGGCCTGAGGGGGCAATCGCGAGCATAAAAATTCAAAAGTCCGTAAAGTCCCTTTAATAAAACATTTTCAGTTCCTCTGATCATCACTTTTTCTTCCCCGTCTATCTTCGGTGTTTCTTTTGATCGTTTTGGGTCATACTATTATTATTAAAGATGGTATAATACTGCATAGCGTTGTGTTTAAATGAAAAACACACAAGCTCCTCCTCACTTAGATTGTTTTCGATCCTAAGTAAATGCTACCCAGACCCCCTTTAAGCAGCTGCTCAAGCGTTGACGCTGACCTGTAGTTGAAATCCTCGTCTTTGCCATCTAGGAAGCGCTGATGCATCTGACTGATGAACTCCTCTCTGAGCAGAACTTTCTCCTCTGCTGTGGGCTCCCATTCCTTCCGCTGACCTCTGACCTCTACATAAGCAACACTCACAGTGAGACAGTAGCAGGAGACATTTAATGTTTTTCACCTTTCTGTGAATTTGAACCCCCTCACCAGCATCCTCTTCTCCTTCTTCGTCGTCGTCGTCCTCCTCCTCCTCCTGAGCAGCATCCTCTCTCTCCTGCTCCTCCTGCAGGCGGTTCTGAATGAGCCGCTCCTGGTAGGAGTTCAAGAGGAGGTGGGCAAGTCCTGCAGTGGCTCCTCCAGGTCCCTCCTGCGCTCCTTCAGACATGGCCTCCTGGGAGCGCTCCAGCACCTGAAACAGCAATCAAATAAATAAATAAACAAGCAAACAATATTAGGAAGATTATTTGTTTATTAAAAAGTAAAACTCACCTCTTCATCAGTGAGGTACTGGCCGATGTACTGCTCATACAGCAGAGGCTCTCTCATTCGCATCTGCTCCTCACTGAAGTACCGACCCTCTAGAAGAAAAATTAAAGATGGAAAAGAAATAAAAGGTTTTTTGAGAACTCTAATTTTTTAATCCAGAAGTTTAAACAGTTTGGAGTCTGGAGCGCCCTCTGGTGGTCTCTGATCTCACAGACAGCAGCTGCTCATCTGTAGCTGCAGTAATTAACGGATGCTGTTAAATAAAGGGGCATTAATGACATGCATTCCTGACGTGGTGAACGCATGAGTTCATAACAGCTTTTTTTGTGTTGCACTTGAAATGAAGCTTTTAAACAAGTCTGACCTGGATGTTCCTACAGGTCCAAACTCTAGCCTACACCTAGCTCTGTGAAACTGGTTTAGAAGAAATGTGTTAGTTGATATAAAACACTTTCTTTAATACCGTCCAATCAGGGTTTCCATCACAGCGCAGAAAAGAGACTGCACTCGTAAACATTTTAAATTAGGTCTAGCTTAAAGACCAAGTTCACCAGTTGTTTTTAACACATCTGCAGAGGACTGGAAAGAATAAATGCCTTGTGAGTCAAAATCTGTGAAAAAAAAAAGCTCTGGCGCTCCTGTTTCAGGAAGTAGAAGTAAGTCGGAGGAGATGGAAGCAGAAAACAGCAGGATTAGGAGTTTTACTCATTAATATTCATGCTATGATGACTTCTCACCTCTGATTGGCTAACAGCAACACGACTCTTCCACTGCCTCTGTCTTCTTTGCAATGCTAATGTTTTATTTCCACAAATAACACAAGTCTGAAGGAGGAGTGCTGCTGTGCTGTGGAGTTGCTAACGCTAACGATCAGCTTCTACTATCGGAGATGTGCTCTACTCTCTCCTGGACGCTAAACCAACAATCGTCTGCAGGCGTGAACCAAGATGGGTGAGTCCATGAATGCTAATTTATAATGTGATGTAGATCTGGGTCACTTCTCCGTGAGTGTTCCCTCATCTATCATCTATCAGCAGCTAATGCAGAAGATAGGGTTAGTAGACTTTTTTCACGTTTAGCCTGCATGAGAAACTCAGACTGACTGATTGTATTGCACAAATCACAAATAAAAATGGTTTCTCAATGAACTTGGTTCTCAAAAATGACCCATCAAAAACATTTGCCTTGGTTTAATTGGTTCTTAGTGCTGCTGCTTATTACATTATCAGTTTGGAAAATATAAATCAGAGCAAACAAATGTCACACGTGGGGTTCCTCAGGGCTCAGTTCTCGGGCCATTATCCACATGCTCCCTTTAGCTCAGATTAAAGTATTAAAACATCTCTTATCTTCTCGTGCTGACTCACAGTTCTACATTTCTGAATCATCACATGAAGTAAAATCATTTCATTGTTTTATTCTATTTATTTGGTGTCGTTTATTAATATGCTGTAAAGTACTTTGAGATGTCCTGTATGAATGGTAAAGTAAAAATAAGCCCTGATGAGATAAAACATCAAATAGTTCCCATTCTTACCATCAATAATAACATAAAAATCAAAGAAAATATAAGATTTTTGCATTTGCGTGTTCTGTGTTGCCTAAACGTATTTGGCAGTAAAACGACATCATGCTTAGACCCACATGCATGTGCCTCTTCTACAGCTGAAACAGTGGAGTAGGGCTGCTCAATTAATCAAATTTTAATCACAATTACGATCTGAGTTTTGAATGATTATGAAAACAAAACAGGCCGATTATTTGCTCCTCCCACTTGCGCTGCCCTGAGTTGCAAATGAAGCGCTCCTCCCACAGTGTTGCCAGCTTGGCGACTTTGACGCTATTTCCAGCAGCTTTTCAGACCCACTTCTTGACTTTTTAAATCTTAAAAGTACCTAGCCAACACCTCAGAAACATCTCTGGTAACCCTTAGCTGCTTTCTGGATAACTGTTGTTGATATTTCCTGCAGGTTAGCTAAACACTCCGCCTGCGCTCCGGACCGTTCTTCACAACATTAGGAAAGGGAATGATGTAGTGATGTGTCAGTCGCTAAAGAAACGGCTCTCGGAGCCGGCTCCCTGTTGGATTAACCAGAGTGAGTGACACACACACCGTACCTGCGGACTCCTGAGCCACTAAAAACGGCGTAATGTGCACGTGCGGCGTACTAAACACACGTGCAGCTTGCCCCGATTGCTGTGAGACCGGGTTGGGGGCTGGGGGGGTGCAGCTGTGGTTGGGACAATTATTACATTAACTGATGGACCTGTAAATAAATAGTTTATAAATAAGGTAGAAATAAGTTCCTCACGCTGATAACTAATAACTAATCTCTCTGAGGATACGGTGCTAGTGCACGCTCCTACAGCACCTTGACATGACTAAATAAATGCTATGCAACATTTTGTGAACATCAATTTATTTGCATTTATTTGTTATAAATGCCACTGTATAATTCTTGCTGTCAGTATTTGCAAGATATTGGTATTTGGGTCTGTACTGGTTAGACTTAAATGAGTTAAACCAAGGTCTATAGCCCTTGGGTCATAAACTATGAGCTATAAGTATATTAGTCTTTTTATACTGGGAATCAGGAGTTATTTTAGTGATCATCTTGTGTCTTATTTATTTTTGTCCTGATTGTGCCCTGAGCAATTTTATGACTGAATAAAAACAAATAAAATCAACATAAATTGAAAAATCGTCCTAAATAATCGAGATCTCAATTTCAGTCACAAAAATCGTGATCATTGTTTTTGCCATAATCGAGCAGCCCTACAGTGGAGTCTACCTTTCTGTAGAGCCCTGAGAGCAGCATAACGCTGGTTTCTGACTCTGGTTCTGTTGATGCAGCCGGACGCTCGCGACTGGACCACACCGCTGTAGTGCTGAGCTCTCGGGTCAGCGCAGACATGGACAAATGCAGGAAGGTGCTCGGGCTGCAAATGGGTCTGAAAGGGAGGACAGGAGAAAACAAGCGAGTCAGGATGCATTATCACAGTGAGGTTGTTTTTAAAAGGGAAATGCTTTCTTCCTGTGTGTTTGAGATCAGCAGAGCCACTTGATCTACCTGGTTCTCCATAAATACAAAAGAGCAATAAACCAGTTATACAGGTGTGTGTGTGTGTGTGTGTTACAGTGAAGTGGACAATAACCGAAACTATGACAACCTGGATTTAGTTAATAGAGTTGCTGAGGATAAATATTTTGATGAGGATGACACGGAGGAAGAAGATAAAATGTGTGTGTGCGTGCGTGTGTCACTCACATGGTACCGCTCCAGGAACACCAGCGGTCTGCTCCGGTACTGCTCCCGCAGCTCCTGCTTTCTCTCCCCGACCGTCAGCTCCGCCTCACCGACCTGCTGGCTCTTCACCGGGCTGCCGCTCATCGCTACCGCCTCTATCATCGCGGCCACACAGCTGGACTCCGCCTTCAAACCCAAACACAAACGTCAGAGCAGCAGAATAAAGCACAACACCTTCCCAGAGTTTATGGGTGTGTTCCCACCGCCGACTCTTCCCGTGGAGCTTCCTGGGGGTCCGTGCAAGGGGCCCGGTTCTGTTCGTATCTCCACGGTGGCGCGGCGGGTTCCTCTGAAGCTTCACTCCGGTTCTCACTCTCCAACAACAGACTCGGCTGCGGCCTAACGGGGGGGTCAATCTCACCCCACATGGCTACAGGTGTTGATCTGGACACGAACGTGAATCCAGTAGCTTTGGACGTCTTCAGCTTAACGTTCCGTCCCTTTTCAGGTTATTTTGATGCCAACGTCAAGTCACGAAGCGAAATGTCACCGTACAGACGCAATACGTTTGTAATAACTGGATTATGTCAGTTCTCAAACGGCCTTTTCTCAGTAATTCAGCAAAATGTTTACATGCCACGTAGGTCCGTCACAATTACAGCTCCCCTTCCCCGCAGCTGGAAAAAAGGTTCCTACGGGATCGGTTTACCAGGCCGAAATATTCTGTTTTGTCGCCATCTAGCGGCGGAGTGGTGACTGTCATGATGAACAAAAACAACTATCAGAATCAGAAGGTTTTATTGCGATAAATGCTAGATTTGGCGCAAAAGAAGAACAAAATTAAGAGATATAGAGATTACTAATATACTCATGATAAAATATTTAATATAATGTGGCAATAATTAGAGAAGCGGCTACTATACACAGTGCAGGTACTAGAATTCAGGTACAAACACAATTGTGACTGGAACCAAGCGGCTGGAGTGGGCAGTCCTAGGATTGTTGTTCATGAGTCTGTGAAAAGAGGGGAAGAAACTGTTCTTGTGGCGAGAGGTTCTGGTCCGAATGCATCTGAGTCTCCTGCCAGATGGGAGAGAGTCAAAGAGACTGTGTCCAGGGTGACACGGGCCAGCTGTGATGCAACCTGCACGCCTCAGTGTCCTGGAGGTGTACAGGTCCTGCATGGAGGGGAGTTTGCAGCCAATTACCTTCTCAGCAGAGCGTAGCATAACATGCTGCAGCTTCTCCTTGTTCCTGGTGGTAGCTCCTGCATACCACACTGTGATTGAGGAGGTGAGGGTGGACTCAATGACTGCTGTGTAGAACTGCCTCATCGACTGTGCTGATAGGTTGAATTTCTCTGGGCCTTTTTGTGCTGGAGGTGATGGTGGGCTCCCACTGGAGGTCCTGATGGTGGAAGCGAAAGCTAAATGAGGCCACCATCGTGATGGTGTGTATATAAGCGTTTATATGTAACACAGACTGCCCCCCTTCCTTCAGGCAGAAGACTGAGCCGAATCAAAGGCAGAAGATCAGATTTGGAAAAAGAAGCTGAGACTTTTAAATAATTAGATTTTTTTCACTGGGTGCAAAATATAAAGAAATCGGAACTGAATCAAAACTTTAGCACAGTACTGCAACCTGAACCTTCTTCAAACATCGAGTGGTTGCTTATTGCTCATCTTTTCTTTTAAGGTTTGGTTTGTTTTTCTCCAGTTAGTTTTCCTTTTTGCCTCTAAGGTCTACTTCCACCAGTTTATGTAAAGTCCCAAGCTTTTACGTCCTTGTTCTAGTTTGCATGGCGTGTTTTCTCAAGTCCTGTAAAGTTGTTAAACCAATTTCTCCTGATAATAATTCTGACTTTGTAACTGCACTTCCTCCGTGAGTTTCAGTGATAAATTTACATCTGCGTTAGCAGAAACCTCAGATAAGAAGCCCTTTGCGATTCTTTTCTCCACCTCAGAGGAGCTAAAACAAAGCCTTCTGCGTAAACTCGTCTTTTCACGAGAACAGGACAAATCTGTTGATTAAATCCTGTAACACAACACCTGATGGAGTTTTACTCTGACCTACAGGAGCAGCGCCTCTGGCCCTCTCAAGCTGTGACTAAAGAGCGACATCATGTGGTCACGGTATGTTACTGCAATCGGAAGGCTTTCATCGAGAATAAAAACTAGATGATTTTATGCAACATTTAAGAACTATTAATAATAAAGAACATTTAACAAGAGCAATGGATTAAGGTTAATCTCACCACAGACTAACCCTTTAACTGGCTGGTCCTTTTATTTTGAAGGATGCACTGAAAAACATTAAAAGAAAAAAGCAAATCAGAAAAACATACAAAAAATGAACCAAAAATCTGATGTGAAGATCTCAGAATGGACCGTTCTTTACAAAAGATCTCCATTTTATTCAGATTTGATGGCTTCTGACCATGGCCAGCTCTCTTTAACTCACACCACACCTTTTCAAATTTAAATGAGGGCCCAGGAGTCGACCGAGAGCACGAGCAAGCCCAAATGCAGATCAAAGTCGGGGTTTAGCTGTCGGAGGTCGTAGGTTGGGAAGAGGAGGTAGAGGCAGACAGACCAGAGATGCTGTGGAAGAAAGAAGAATCCAGAACCTCAGAAAAGACAGGGGGGCTCAGAAGTTTGGCACCGTTATTTATATAAGTACCTGAATTGATCATGATGTATAAACTTAGTGGGGTGTGAAATCGTTTGTTGTTACGATAAAAAATGCCAGTTAAACATATCCTGTAGGAGACACACACAGTGATATCTGAGAAGTTAAACCAAGTTATAGGTTTTACAGAAAGTGTAATTGTTTCATCCAAATTAGACAGATGCATAAATGTTACACTTCCTGTAGCTTCTAATGCAGGGGTGTCAAATATGCAGCCCGCGGGCCACATCCGGCCCGCAAGCGGGTTAAATCCGGCCCGCGAGATGGTTGTGTAAACTTTATTTTCATACTTTACGATGTAGAGTGAAAATAAACGTATCTTTGTGAGCAAGTTTCCTCTGTAATGAGTATAAATAAAACAAAGCTGCACGCAAGGCTCATACAAGAATTTGAATCACACCCTGAAGTTGGCCGCCACTCAGGATGTGACTTGATATCGATGTGCTGGTGAAAGCTAAAAGATGTAAAGTAAAATGAGTCAAATATACTTTAAGTGCTGCATGAAACTGATCTAGCCATGTGACCTGTTAGCTCTTTGAATCACTAAGGAATGTTTTTTTTTATTTATTGATTTTTTTGTATTTTTCAAATTTTCAAGTACACTTCAGGTGTTGTACTTGTACTTTTTTTGATACACTGTCCTCAGGCTCCAGGCTTGCTTTATATTGATTGTATTAAAACAAAGAAAACAATCTGAAGTTTTTATATTATTTACCGGTCCGGCCCACTTGGGACTAGATTTCCCTCAATGTAGCCCCTGAGCTAAAATGAGTTTGACACCCCTGATCTAATGAGAGTCTGGATTCTGGTTGATGCTATTTTGGACCATTCTTCTTTACAGAACATCTGTAGTTCATTCAGGTTTGATGCTTCTGAGCACGGCCAACTCTCTTTAACTCACGCCACAGATTTTCAGGTCTGGGGACTGAGACGTCCTTTCCAGAACGTTCTACTTGTTCCTCTGCATGAATGCCTTAGTAGATGTTGAGCAGTGTTTAGGGTTGTTGTCTTGTTGAAAGATCCAGCCCCGGTGCAGTTTCAGCTTTGTCACTGATTCCTGGACATTAGTCTCCAGAATCGGCTGACATTGAGTGGAATCACTGCGTCCCTCAGTGATTCCCAGTCCCTGCACTGGCCACACAGCCCACAGCATGATTGAACCACCACCATGTTTTACTGTAGGTAGCAGGTGTTTTTCTTGGAATGCTGTGTTATTTTCCCTTCATGCATAACGCTCCTTGTTATGCTCAAATGACTCATTTTTAGTTTCATCAGTCCACAGCACGCTACAAATCATGGGCTCCCGCACCTTGAATGGCCCAGTTCTGCTCCCTCCATGCCGTTCAGGACCTTGGACAGGTCCTCCGTCAGGCTGGCCTCCACCTCTGCCCGCCTTCAGTGTCCCAGCTGCAAGCCATCAGCTAATGAGGACTGATGGCTTAAAGGACTGCAGCTTTCAGTTCTCTGGGAGAGAACCACAGGCTAAACGCCTGTTCTTCTCTCCTCGGTCCTGGGATCATTTGGTAGTAAACAGTTTAGCGTGTTGATGAATTTGGATAAGAACTTTGGTAAATTCAGTGTTTAGGATAGATAGTTCTTTTGTTGAATCCTTTGGTAATTAATAGCCGTTTTTCATTCAGTGATCCTAGAGCTTGAATTTCAGTTTCTTTTTTCAGCCTTACAGCTCGCTTAAGTTTTGTCAGACAGAATAATATTTAGGATAATTATAGACGTCGAGATTTGTTTTAGTTATTTAGCTCCGGCATTTTCGTTTAATAAAGATATTCTCGTGTTTTCTTCCCTGAGGCCTTTTGCCTCAGGTGTTGTGAGTTTTCTCCGTTGCCTTCGTTTAGCTAGATTAGAGTGCATTTTCTTTTAGTCATTTTATTCCGGTCAAGGACTGAGTATTTGTGTTAACCCCTTTGTTAATAAAATACATTTTATTTACACTCCCCCTTTCTCTGCATTAGTTTTTATATCACCCCTCTACCACAAAGCTTAACATCATCAGGGTTTGTAACATTAATGGGGGCTCGTCCGGGATTTGAAACTACAGCAGACCGTGAAGGAATGTACAATCCCTTGGTGGTGGTATTTTAATGGTGTTTTATTTGTCTGAAGGTTTTAAAGTGACAGATGGCTTCATGGATGACTGGCGGATGCTTCTGGAGGCCCTGCCAGAGGATCCACTACTGGATGGGCTCTCAGAAACCTAAGAACCTGATCCAGCCCAGTATGAGGAGAGGAAATGTTGGATCCAGAGATAATCCCCGCAGGCAGGCTCAGAGGCCCTCCCTCCTTAGGGAGGGACCTGGTTGATTTTGTAGTGTTGCATTCAGCGGGCTAGTGTTGGTGATCTTTTCACCTTCTCAGGAGCACCCCAGGAAGAGCAGGGGCTAACCCCCCGCTCTTTGCTGGTTTGGATGTGCATATGCACATGTGCTTAATCTGCCCGCCTGCGATGCGCATGAAGACGAGCGTTTCAGATAGCCTGTTTTATTGTTTTTTATATCGGGGGCTCTCTTGCTTTTAATGTGATCCTTGCTTTTAATGAAAAAGTTAAAAAAAAGTTGGTATTGTGTGCTTTTACTAACTTTTATCCTTTTTCTTTTATGTGTGGGGATGTTACGGCTACCAGCCTGGCCATTGGGATGCAGGAGCCAGGATCACCCAGCCCCGGTGATCAGCCTGACACCGCCCCTCCTCCTCCTCTCTTCCAGGCTGCTGAGGAGCACAGCTGATCTGAATCCTGCTGATGGCCCACACCTGGGATAAAAAGGCTGTGCCTTCAGCAGTCTGGGAGGCAGCAGTGCAGGGGTTCTGCTGTCCTCCAGGACTCATTTTGTTTTCAACCCCTTCAAGTAGAAGAGTTTTAACTTTTATAGTTTTAACTCTGAGTGATCCAGAGGGATTGTTTTAAAGGTTAACTATGTGATACACTTTTATTGACTTTGGTTTTAAAACACCTTCTGTTCCGG